TGTGTGTGTGTGTGTGTGTGTGTGTGTGTTGTGAAGGAAGGGGGTGGGGGAGGGAAAAATAGTCGACGTGAATGACCGCCGGTCAGTTCTATAAACCACGAGCCGCCACTGCCAACATCCCCATGACAACAAAACTCAAAATGATGAACTCCATATTCATCCCAACACTCACCTATCAATGCCAAACATGGACCACGAGTTACAACATATGAAAAGCGATGCCTTAGAAAAGCAGTAAACAAGACCAGGCGAGACAACATTAGAACCACAGTAATCAGAGAAATAGTGGGCACATGATGTCAAGCATCACATCCAACACCAAAGAATCAAATGGTTCGGACATCTCATTCGATTACCAACACACCACCCAGAACAAAGTCCCTTCATAAAAAATTTCGATGGCAACAAGGCTAGATGGCGACTAAGAAAGACCTGGATATATGGAGTCAGAGAAACTCAACTCACAGCATCCCCCAGACCCAAGCTCTCCGGCTGGTGGCAGAGAGACGTCTCTTTATTCCTGCGACACTCAAAAGTGTATAAGAGGCGGATAAAAGAAAGAAGTCTCCCTTACTCAAGCAGTTATTTCGGGTTGCTGTTACCTACTTCATAAAAGAGGACTCCTCTGGCATTGTGACTTAGTGTTCTACCTTCAAAATCAACTGTGTTATGTTTCATTCAAGTCTTAAACATTTTACTTGTGAGGTGATGTTGTGTTATAAAAAAAACCAAAACGGTTAGGCCAAACAATCGGTTTATGAGACTCATGGAGCAAGGGCTGGAGATGAAGGGAAATGACTGAGGAAATGGCTTTTGAAAGAATACTTTACAAAGATTTATGGAACCTGGAGCCTTTATCCAAGTATTCCATTTATTATTACGTGTGAACTCTCCGTCTCTCCTTCTTATTCTCTGCGGCTTTCTCTCTCTCTGTCTTTCTCTCTCTGTCCACCTCTCTCTCTCTCTCTCTCTCTCTCTCTCTCTCTCTCTCTCTCTCTCTCTCTCTCTCTCTCTCTCTCTCTCTCTCTCTCTCTCTCTCTGTGTGTGTGTGTGTGTGTGTGTGTGTGTGTGTGTGTGTGTGTGTGTGTGTGTGTGTGTGTGTGTGTGTGTGTGTGTGTGTGTGTGTGTGTGTGTCTTTCTCTGTCTCTCGGTAGCACAACTACCACCATCGGGTGCTCTCGTGGTCTGGAGGCTCGGTGTTCACCTCTCATTCAATAGGTCCCGGTTTCGAAACCTGGCAGCGACTGAAAATTTTAATCTCTAAATTGATTTGTCTCCTTTTACCTCCTTTCCACATCGAACTGTTCTGTCGTCTGTGTCCATCTCCACTTTCTGCCCCCACCCCGACCCCCTTTGCCCCCTCCTCTGGGCCCCTTACAGTTTCTGCAGCCTTTCTACTGCTACTCATGGGCCCCAACTTACTACTGTCTTTCAGCCACATCCCTGATCTTAGGGTAGGTAACAAATGACACCAAAAAAAAAAAAAAACCCCAAAACAAACCAAAAAGAAACAAAAACAATATTTGACTGTCCGAAATCAGTTAGGATGCTGCTTTTACAAGAACATACTAGTACAGGGTACTTGAATGGACAAATTGTAGTGTCCGTAGCTTTCATAGATCCTGCTGGCATGTGTGTGTGTGGTCATATTCTGAGGATGGGTAGATCATGTAGGCATGGGTTGCACTTATAATATGTCTAGCCAATTGAGCTTAAGCTTTTGTACTGCCAGACACACATCTATAGAGGCGTAAAAACACATAAGCGCTTAGATCTTATACTCATATGGAATAGAATGCTGTGTAAATGGAATTTATCATTGTCTTTTCCCTTATCTTCCTGGTTTCTTGCGATGACAGCAGAATGGTGGTCCTCAATAAAAAAAATCCTGTTCATGTAGAGGTTTATATAATATTCGTTTCTGTGGCGAGATCTGCAGGCCCAGGGTTATTTATCTGATTTATAGTCAGTTAGTCGTCGTGGTAAAGCATGTTCATCGAATACCGTTTACTCTGCATTTCGCCAGCAAGGTAGCCTACCGAAAAAAAAGAAAAATAAAGAAGGAAACACTCACAATAAGGTGAAGTATGTAGAGCAATAACAGTTTTATTCATATAAATAATGTAAACAAGGCTGAGAAAAATCAGTTATGGCACATCGTAAACAGTTTGAACAATGATAACATCTTTTAAGTAGATCTACCGGTATCTCAGAGAAGTGCATTCATACGTTATATGCTTTTGAACGTGTTTTATATTGAAAGCCCTAAACATTCCTTCTTTTGCTTCAGAGAAGTAAAAGTTGTTTTTCAACCAAAATAGCTCCACTCTGTGCTTTCTGCGTTAATAATTAATATACGGTGTTGTATTTTTGAAGGGTTTTTTTTTATGTGTATGCACAACAAAATGTGGTAGTTATTCTAACGACTTACAAGCAGCGACAACAACTTCAACAACAGAAGAGATTTTTAAAAAAAACAACAGCTAGAATACCACTACAAACTTTCAGATTTAGTAAGAATCTAACGACACTTGCAACACAATAAGGTCATACACGTGCCAAAGAATAGATGTGTTACAAGAGAGTAACATACATAAAAAAGAAGAGAAGAGATTTGGGTGATAGATGTTTGATCGGAAAGAAAGAGCAAACCACATCAGAGCACCCGCCAACCGCTCACCCTCTACAAACACAAACATCATCAACAACAACAAAGACGACGACAACAACGACGACGACGACAACATGACTACTGCCTCTTCTAACAACCAAGACAGCAACAGATAATAACAAAAACAATAACAACAGCAGCAACAACAACAATAACATAACCACTACCTCCTCTAACACGAAGGATAACAATAGCAGTAGCGGCAGCTACAACAACAACAAATACAACAACAACAACAACAACAGCAACAACAACAACAACAACACGGCCACTACTACTAACAACAATAACAGCAACATATTATTTGTGAGAATGCTCATGCGTTTGTGTGTAGACCCTACATCTACATGTGTGTCCATATTCTTTAGTTAATGCATGGGCTTGTGAGAGTATGTGTATGTGTGTGTGTGTGTGTGTGTGTGTGTGTGTGTGTGTGAGAGAGAGAGAGAGAGAGAGAGAGAGAGAGAGAGAGAGAAAGAAAGAGAGAGAGAGAGAGAGAGAGAGAGAGAGAGAGAGAGAGAGAGAGAGAGAGAGAGAGAGAGAGAGAGAGAGAGAGAGAAAGAGTACATGTGTGTATGTGTATGTGCGTGCGTGCGATCGATCGAGTACGTATGTGTGTGTGTATTTGTGTGTGAAGAACTGAAAGAGAGAAAGAATATTTTTGTTTGTCAATCAGCGTTTGTGTAATGTCAGTGTACGTCTGAGTATGCGAGGTTGTTGATGTATGACGTCTTTATGGGAAAGGGGTTGAGATGGGGTGGAGTGCAGAAGTTGGGAGCAGAAATTGTCTTCAATCACAAATGATATTACAACAATTGATTTCATATATATCTAATTTACGGTTAACATTATTACCGGTATTGCTTGAATAGAAATGCCCTTCAATGATAATGTTATTATTGCCTCTTAGTACATGTACAAAACAAAAGTTGAGGTCCCTAGGGTCATTTGATCATATTTCATTAGTTTCTAAGGAGACTGCATTTCCTAATCCCCTCCAAAAAGCCCCATAGCTCCGTCCATCAAGTCATCGTCATCTTCTTCATCGTCTACCACTTTCTCTTGTGCCTTCGACTCGCTCATCTTCAAACTGGCAAGTTCCGTATCTTTTCTTGATGGCTTCCCTTGTCTCACCTTCTCCACCATGGCAACTTCGAACTCGTTTGTTGGCTCGAGGTAACCATCTTGCATTAGCCACATTCTTACAGATTTAGTCCAAGACTTCGTTTCGTTGTTGGAGCTTTCTTTCGCGCCGCTTTCTTTGAGAATGTCAGCGATGAACATCTCTATCACCATGTCTGTTTGCTGTCGTTCAGGGATGTCCAGTTTGCTCAGTACACTGGGGAAATTAGACGGTATAGTATTACTATTAGTGTTAGAACTATGGAATAAGAAAAATTGGATTAAGTCAAACAAAAGAAGCCTCCAATTAGCAGAAACAGAAAACAGAAACAACAACAAACAAAAAAGAAAGAAAGGTTTACCTCACCATTCTGCCTTGAGGGTACTCCAGAGCATTGTAGGATTATACATTGAATTGTTCGGATTATTTTTTAAATCCCACCTATTACAGCTGGTTCTTCACGCCATTCTCCCACGGTTTCTCAAGACTCTCAAACAGTGAGCATTTAAATGCAAACAGACACATGGATACACACACACGCGCGTGCACACACACACACACACACACACACACACACACACACACACACACACACACACACACACACACACACACACACACACACAAGTACAATTGCCCGCGCGCTTACGTGAGAAAATAATATACTGAAGCACGCACGTCCACTTTGATGTGTCACTTTGGTAACGACTGTCAGCAACATTTTATTTTGTTTATTCGGGTTGTTGTTTGCTCTCAAAGTCGGAATGAATTTTTTTACTACTGAAATATCCTCGTTATAGGCCTACAATATTCAATACGTATCCATGAGCTGATAAAACACCACATTAAGCCACGTAATGCAGGGCTGGATTCTTGCCAGCTCGTATCTTTCAGGAGCGTGTTTTGTGTAGCCCCATATTATTTATCTCTCAGTAACCTGTCCACTATATTGTTTGTCTGGCTGTGTGATGATTTATAAGTGGAAACGTACTGATTGTGCGTAATATCCGAGAAAAAGATATCTGTATCAGAAGGAGCGTTATCTTATGGAAGCATGCAGGACTCCGAAATCATAGATGCTTCCCTTTCAGGTGAACGATACTGCTCATGGCGGGGAATGGCCAGTCGTTTGTTTGCTAGGTTTTGCTGTCAAGACACATAGCTGAAGTATTCCATAGGTTGCATAGAGAAGTTTTTATCCTCCATCCCACCTATACCCCTCTACCCTTCTACCCATCTACTCTCTCTCTCTCTCTCTCTCTCTCTCTCTCTCTCTCTCTCTCTCTCTCTCTCTCTCTCTCTCTCTCTGCCCCTCTCTCTCTCTCTCTGTATGTGTGTGTGTGTGTATATATGTGTGTATGTGTGTGTGTGTGTGTGTGTGTGTGTGTGTGTGTGTGTGTGTGTGTGTCTCTCTCTCTCTCTCTCTCTCTCTCTCTCTCTCTCTCTCTCTTTCTCTCTTTTTCGCTCACTCTTTCTCTCAGTGCATCTCTTCCTCTTTCTACCAATCTCTTCCTCCCTCTCTCTCACTACCTCTCCCCCCCCTCTCTCCCTCTCTCTCTCTCTCTCTCTCTCTCTCTCTCTCTCTCTCTCTCTCTCTCTCTCTCTCTCTCTCTGCCCCTCCCCATGTCTCCCCCTCTCTAAACACAATACCAGTCAATACAGAGAGGTCTTGTTAGACTACTCATCCCAAAACAATCAGGTTTTTAAAAAAATAATATCTTTTTTACAAGAACGTGCATAATGCTTTTTCGTCATGAAGCTGATATCTCATTTGTTCCACTCATTAATAGATGTTACTGATTATCAAATGATATCTTTTAATTATATCTCACCTGTTGTATCTTGCTTTGGTGCAGTAGTTTGGCGCTTTATCCTTTCTTTCATGAACGTCTACGAAAGAGGTTGACAGATATTTGACGGCGTGTAAGCCAAAGTCGGGTCTGGTCAGCGGAGTCATCACCACACCTGCAGAAGACAATTTTGACACACGTAGAGGTTGACTATTATAATAGTACAGAAGCTGTTTTTTTCTTGAGCAAAGCAAACGACAAACACAACAACAAACATCATTCAGGCTGTACTGGCGCTCAAAGACTTTTACCACTTTATACAAACTTTGAGACGAAGAGGGGGTATTCTGACGATGAAGTTGTTGATTTATTCCTGTGTGAGTTGTAGCAAGTGCAATGAGAAAATGTGTGACTGTTTTGATTTAGTCTACGTCTAATTTTCGGTAGATGTTTGCTTGTTAGCCTGTTTGTCTTCTTCTGCACCACCACCTCCATTAAAAAATAAGAAAAAGGGCAATAATGACCCAAGCACTTTACGCAATATTTACGTTAATGGTTGCCTCCCTTGATAAAAATTCTCTCAGATAGGACTTCGACCTTGTCAGTCTAGGCTACCCAGTCGATAAACGGGCATTCCCAAAACCTCACCTTCGATTTTCGTCTTGTAATCATCAGTGCGTTCTGTGAGGGAGGATCTGCTGTTCATGAATCCAGTGTCTTTAAGCCAGTCTTTCAGCTCCTCCAGAGTAGCTTTGGGCTCAGTAACTGGAACAGCGAAGTATGGAAATCCTACTTCCCTGCACAGATCGCCCAATTGGAGAACAGAAAGCCATTTTCGGTTGACGTTGATTCCAAAAACGTAGAAGCGGTACTCATCAGAATAAATGATTTCTTTTTGAATAGCTACAGACATGAGTTTTGATTTGACACCACCCCCTCCGTACAGCTCGCCGTATATTCTCAGCTCGATATTATTTGATTTGTTCTTGAGTTCACTGCTTTCACAGTCAGATTTTGTGGGGTTATCTGCTGTTTCAGAATTTTCTTCGTCGCCTTTCTCTTCGTCACCAGCTTCTTCTTCTTCGTCGTTTTCCTCTGCATTGTCGTCATCATTGTCTTCTTTCTTTCCCCATTCCCTGTATTCTGCCCAACGTTCGTCTGAGCTGATGATTTGGAATACTTTCTTAACGCATTCGACATACCTGCACACAATAAAAAGAAAAGTTGAATTTAGTGGTGTAAATGTGTTATTGTCTGAGTACGTTCTCAAATGTTTCATCTAGTCGAGTAATAGATTATCTATTCACGAGAAGAATGATGACATCATCGCCAGAAGGATAAAAATGGAGACAATAAGAAGAGAGCACCTATAAAAATGCCCCGCCCCCACCCCACCCCAAAGAAAAAGCTAACCAGAGCGTAATGTAGTCCACTTTACCGGTTTTAGTCTGTTCCTCACGCCATCAAAAAGTCTATTTTGACAGTTGACTAGACAAAGTCGGTTCTCAGGTTTTCTTTGGTGGAGCTGTCGTTAAAAACCGAATATGATGGTCGGCATACTGTGTACAAATGTATTAAGCCCAAAAAGCAAAATGTTTCAGGACAGAGATTTTTAAAAAACTGCTTTATTCTACTTCTATCATATCCCTCTTTTTGCTTTTTTCAGCATTGAAAATTTGAATTTTTGACAAAATATTTCTTCAGCACATATGCAATCGGTACCACAGTTTGAGTAACTGAATTATTGGACTTAGTTGGACTGATGCAGCTGGAGGACAATATGACTATTTTAATGCTTAGATCTAAATCTTAGCGCTTCATTATTCTTATCTTAGCTTTTGTCACCTATTCGTTCTCGCCAGACTGTCCTGGAAACTCACCTTTTCTTGAACTCAGCTGTATTGCACTTGAGAAATGAGCCTTCGTCGTTGAGCTGGTTTCGTCGGCTGCCGCAGATGACTCTGTTTCCGTCGCAGGTGTAGAACTGGTAACTCGAACCATGGACCTGGAAGAGACACAATAAATATAATATTATTACAAAAGCTGTTAGGCTGAGAAGATACGACTGATTGACAGGGTACCAATGACCTTCATTAGAATAGAAAATACTTTTATTAAGACCTCTATTCGTGATAAATTTGGTTGACCACAGCGTTATCGCCTTTGCTGTAAAGTCACCGGCGTCTATGGTGTGGAGCTATTTCACCGTCCCAAATATAAGATGTGAGTTCAATTCTCGTACGAAGAGGTCAGGGGCGGCTCGTGGGTCTAAAAAGTGGGCGTGCACAATTAAGCTATCTTAGTTAGGCTGAAGATAATCAGGGGCAGGGGCGAAGGCTGACTTGTTTGACAGGGTAATCAAAGTGAAACGGGACCAGATATAGATTTATATGGCCCGTAGATATCACAAATCCGGAATTCATATTGTATGTTCAACCGCCAAAATAATCGGGAAAGTATCTTATTAAATATTGTATGTTCAACCGCCAAAATAATCGGGAAAGTATCTTATTAAATATCAGTTCCAACTAAAATTAAATTAACTTTCTATATGTTATAGATCTACCAGAGAGTCTAACTCTTTGGTAGAACATGACAATTATCATTTTTTAAATTTCACATTTGGCTGTTTTTGTTAGCCTTTCGCGGCCAGGAGCTGGTGTCATAATCGAGGTCACGATCTGATTATAGGACAGTAAAAAGTCGAGGGAAAAAAACCAAGCACATGCAGCAGTAAAGAGATTGTTAGGAGTTAGTTCCCCTCACATTTGTGAGGTAGACTCGACCAGTGTTCGTTAGCTTACTTAATCAGGGCTTGTGATTGATTTTAACTGTGGCCCCAAAGGGGTGAACAGGGTATATGTGGCAATGAAACAGCCATGACTGCTATGCACATGTTCCCTCAACTGTATTGGAGACTCTTTCAGCCTCACTTTAAGCTTACTTAATCAAAGCTTGCGACTGATTATGGAGTGGCCCGAGAGGGGTGAGGAGGCTATTTCTGTGGCCGTGAAACCGTTTTGAATGTTAGGCATGCCCATTGTGGATTACGAACCTCTTTTTACTTTTAATTTAAGAGGTTTACGTTTAAGGATGAATTTGACAGCGACAATGTTTCAAAATTAGGAAGGGAAGCAGTGATTATTTGATTATATAGACGCTTCGCCCCTGATCAGGGGCAGAGTAGGCTAAATGGGATGGTGTATAATTTTAGGATCTTTGGGTTGGTGAAGGAAGACCTTGTGCTTTTGCTTTCATTCTTTTTACTTGTGGCTTGGACTTCTAGAACTAAATTTGTTTGTTAGCTAAACGTCAATTTCATTCATCCCGCATTAGAACTGAACACTCAAGTAATATCTTTCACCACTCCACTACAAAACCGTTCAAAAGCACAACTCATAGGACGGCGACTTAAGTATGTCACGTTCACCCCCCTCAGGTTCACGGTCACAGAGTCACTTAAAATAGCGACAAGACAATGAACCAATCACAATTCACTTGAGCTTTCCGCTGGATTGCTCAGGGCCCCACATAATTTTGGCATGGAATAGTGCACAGTCTATGGCGTTTATTTTTAGATTGCCTACTGTGGGCTATGTTTTGGCGCTATTCGGCTGGAGCACATCTGAGATGTGCCGTCTTATTAATATTAATGTACCGCCAAACTCTCTACAAGTGTCGTCATTGCTTGGATTATCCCAAAGAGCGATTTATAGGTCAGGTTTCCACTGTTGACTATCCTGTGATGTTTAGATACAGCGCTTGAACTTAGGCATGACATAGTAGATGTTTTACGGCGCTATAGAATAGAAATGACGTTTACGGCGCCAGCGAGGGCCTTGTTTTGATATAATATTTGGCTAGTGTTTGTTTCTGACGTCTTATATTTTATTATTGTGGGTGCTTTAAGTCACAGAACATTAAAAAAATTTGGGCGGCACTGCACGACTGTGCTCTATGGACGAACCGCGCCTGGAAGAGGTGTTTTTTCTTTCTTTAAAAAAACCAAAAAAAACACAACAAAAAACCAGTTCTTAGGTCTCCACCTGTCTGCTGGAACGTTGTATCCCCCTCAGCCTGGTTTGGTCCAGACATGCCCGCCTCCTAAACGATCTAAATTGTTTTGATGAGAGCGTAAAATGTTTACATATTCTTAGAATCATGGTCCTTGATCACAGGTTGATGAGAAAACGACGGGGTCCTCATGCAAGATAGGTTTTTGCACAAAACAGATGCATGCAGCATTTTATTCAAAGTATTTTATATCAATGATCGGGATTCACACAAAACTATTTCAGAATCAAACACTGGTTTTCTAGTTTTGTATGACATGCTTATAGTTCAGAGACAATGCTGAATTGATGCTTAGCTTGTTGCGTCGTAAATACATTTTTTTTAAACAAGCTAGGCTACAATAAATGGGTTTTTTTTCAAATGATGATCATTTCTTTAAACGCTCTCCAAGCGTAAAACTTGTTTTCTATTTGATCATGAGAGATCGACGTACCGGTACCGACTTTTCCCAAATCAAGAAATAAGGGGCTTTTGTTGTAAAGACACATTGAATGTGACCAAAAAGCCTTTTTATTTTAATTAAATGATAAAACGAGAAAGGCCGTTTTTGTATATTACTTAATGCAAGCATGAAAAATGTATACCGACAAAAGAAAGGATAAATGAAGAAAACAAACACTGAACAATGTTGACGAGTGAACAAAAGGGAGAAGGAATGAATATTCTATCTATCTATCAATCTATCAATCTATCTTTCTATCTATCTATCTATCTATCTATCTATCTGTCTATCTATCTATCTATCTATCGATTATCTATCTATCTATGTATCTATGTGTCTGTCTGTCTGTCTACTCTGTCTCTATCTATGTATCTATGTGTCTGTCTCTCTCTCTCTCTCTCTCTCTCTCTCTCTCTCCCCCTCTCTCTCTCTCTCTCTCTCTCCTAGGCCTATATATGTATCCTTCTTTCTTCCTCTTTCGCCTATCTGCCCCCTCCTCCCCCACCTTTCCCCTGCGCTTCTCTGTCTCCGCCTCTTCCTCCCTCACTATCTCATATGACGCCAGCACACACGCAAGCACACACACCAGCACGCGCGCACACACACACACACACACACACACACACACACACACACACACACACACACACACACACACACACACACATTAAAAAAAAACACTAATCGGCCTACAACTATCTATATAAAAAGTGCTGTAAAAAATTCGTGGCGCGACTTATTGTCAAATATCTCCTCAATTATCGAACATAGGTTCTCCAATTCTTGTACAATGACTTGTATCAATTTGTCTTAACAGATCAATATTTCTGTAAAAACCTGCTAGTAAATTCTAGAAAATTCCTTAATAAATATAATCCAAGTGGGTGGTTTCTATACAGATTTTTAAATGTTAACTGCTGGGGCAATATTGCTTTTAACAGCAATCCGTCATGTATTTCTAATCGGGACATTATGTTTATTGAATGCATGTTTTGATAACCATTAGTGTAAAAAATGTGTTCACTATAAACATAATTTCTTGTAACTAGAATCTAGTTTTGCAAGTAAAAATTATCTTTGATGAGCGGTGACGTAGGCCATATGCGTATTCAAAATGTGTGTGAGAAGCGAGAAGTGCTGTGAACAATACCATTTTATGTGAGACAGAGATTTCAAGTATTTTATATAAATTTATGAAGAAATGTTTTTTAATCTAGATCTAGCCCCAATTGCTCTGGAAAAATCTGATTTAGAGCTAGATCTAGATCTAGTTAAGACAAATTATTGATACAAACTGCTGTGCAAAGTTTGGATGACATTGATTCACCTGTTAAAGAGATGGAAATTTGAGGATAAGTTGCGCCACGAATTTTTGACCGCACTTAAGACAGTAAGTCTAGGCTATAGAGTCTATAGGGGCCTATAATAATTGCAAAAACAAAATGAATGAAAGTACGTTTCTCTTACCTTCTCTGTTGCCACCCAGTCAGTGCACTTGTCCTCCCTGAAGGAAGGTTTCTTTTCGATGGATTTCATACCCACAAACTCCATTTTAGATAGTTTGTAGATTATGTACTTTTGTTCCTTTTCTGGGATACGTTTTGTATTAATTTGATTTAATCCTCGGCTTGACACAGAATTAAATAAAGTAAAGCTTTAGTTTGATGGGTCTACACAAGATATATGGTGGTGATCGGCGTGAAACGCGCTCGTTGATCCGAAACAATGTTCAATTCCTTCTGTTGCCCTGGTTTTAAATCCCAAATATCATGATGAAATAGTTGGTAAACCATGAGATAAAAATAGAAGCCTAGAGTCCAACGGTTAGATCTATACTTTCTTTCAGCCAGTGGTGCAATGTTTGGTTGATTGTGTTGGGGAATTGGAAGGTATGGAAAGTTATTTTCAGTAAGTGACTAATTTCGACATGAAGCCAGAAACCAACTTATATTCTATTTATAGGTTTAACCTTCTTCTTCTCAGAAAGTTTACAAAAATAGTAAAGACTTTTCATTGGTTACTCAGTCAACATCTGAGCTAAGATGGCGGCCTCCGTGGTAAGACACCGGGCTAGGGTAGTCTCCTTTTATTTTTATAAAAATAAATCACTAGCTTATAAAAAAAATATATATTTCTCATCTCTAAAGAGTAGTAGATCTATTACGCCCCCATTCTAGTCTGTGCCAAAGTTGGTTCCCCTGTTTTGTTATATTATAGATCTAGGTCTATAGATCTATCTAGAAATCTAGATTAGTCCTTTTCAGTCTCAGTTTTCAGATGTTCTATCTAGAAATCTAGATTCTAGTAGATCTAGAAATCTAGATCTAGATCTAGATCTAAATTTAGATCTAGATCTAGACTCTAGATATCTAGAATCTACATCTAGAATCTAGATTCTAGATCTAAGCTATCGTAGGCTAGAAATAGAGTTCAAGTTTATTTTCCCAAGCGATAGGAAAAATAGAGCCGGGCATTTATGAATGAAAGTGGCTATTCTCACCCGCCCGGAAGTTCTCGCAAGATCAACTCCTCCCCTCTTCTCTCTCTCTCCGTCTCTTTCTGAATACTGTCTATCGGTGTGGACGATCAAATTGACCAAAACAAAGTTTAAAAATGATGTTAAAACACAAAAGTAAATAAATTTGGTTGTCTACAAAGATGCTATGGCTATTTAACTTTTCGAATCGAGCCGAACTACGCGGGTCGCCATTTTATTTTGCCCGGAAATTCTCGCGCTACTCCTCTCTCTCTTTCTCTCTCTCCACTGCCCACAGACAAAATTGTACGCTTTTAGTAGGCTACAATTGTAATGGAACGTTTGTTCACGGCACAGAATTCTACAATTTTTCTGTTATCACAGTGTAGAATTCTGTGGTTTAGGGTGAACGCAAAATTTGGTGAACGCGCACCGGGTGAGAATAGCCACAAGACTCGCCTGCACTATTCTCACTCCGGGTGAGAATAGAGGTGGCCTTTATGAATTAAAACCCAGCCCGTAGGCCCCGTCTGCAGGGTGGAAGTTAGGAAAATTGCTTCGCCCATACTTTTCTTTTCCCATCCAGCAGCCATCCTTTGGCCTGTGGATGTGTCAAAGAATTTTCGGCTTTTTATCAGCTGTGTTTTGTCATTTTAATTGTATAAGATCTAGTATTTCCGAATCCGAATCTGGGGAGGCAGATAGGTAGGCACTACACAGGTAGCTAAGCTAAGTGCAGGGCAATTATGATGTAGTTTCATCCTGGCAGTCTCACAGTGGGCAGTCAGCTTGGCCCATAACAACCCCTTTGCCGGACTCCGTAAATAAAAGTAATGGGCTACTGGTAAATAGTAGATAGCGTAAACGCTGCCTAGCCTTGCAAGCACTCGCGGCCTTCGGAGCACGTTGTATCGGTGAAATCGGGTTTATTCAGATCGCTGTTTCTTTGCTCTTTTGCTATAAAAGACCAAATGCTGTACACCTTATAAAAGTTCAGCTTTTCCTCGTTACATTTGTGTAAGTTGTTTATAGGTCCGATTATTAGGAGCTGGAGAATCGCAGAGGAAAGCGAAACCCCTCGCAGTGGGAATGCGTGGTCGGCCGGTTCAAAAATTGACACGCGTGCATTCAAATGCTTCGCGGAAAGATTAATGATTAAATACCGTCTTTTTATTGGCGAAGAACTGTAGAACTTTAAACGGGCTTTTCTATGGTATATTTTTAGCCTTTAGATTTTAAATAAAAAGCCTTTAAAAATACTGTAAAAATTTTCAAAGATAATTTTTTACACAAAATATGTAAAATACCGACTTACTTCCACGCGAAACTTGGAAAACATGTGACCCCCCCACACGGGGTACACTACAGTATAGAGCTAACCCGCTCACCGCGGGAGCCGATGTAGCTCCGGCCGGTTCAACGTTCGGTGTTTTGGTCGAAATAACGACAGACCATGGTGTTTGAGTCAATAAAATACTGATTTTTGATCTCACAGTCTTGAAAAAAATTAGGCTCCATACATGATGTCATAGTGATTGTACTCTGTTAATGTGGAAATATTTTGTGCACTTGGTACTCTTTTATAGTCTCTCAAACATGGGGTTGCAGCCAGTGAGCGACTTTAACAAATTTGATCAAATTTTAAACAACTACAATTTTCTTAAAGATTGACTGAGAGGTTAAAGAATAGTACCAAAATGCTAAGTGGAAATAGGCCTTTCATATGGAACAGATACATTTGGCATACAGCTACTTTGAAAATTTAGTTTCTGGTACACCTATAAATAGCATACAGCAAGCTCTTTGCGGCTTTGCATTTTTTAATCTTTATCCCAACAGACCTGATACTACTGATAGCATTTTGAAACAAACTCAACTCTCTTGGATGCATATGCAGTGCAACCTGCCATTTTACAGGCACTAAAACACTAACATATATATTATTTATATATATATGATAATACTGACAAGATCTTTCACTGTCTATGGTTGGGTACCCATTCACACTCAGAGCTGTTAAAGTACTTTTAAAAAGGTACTTAAGTATAAATTTAAGTACAATCTAAAATATGTACTTAAGTACAGTAAAAGTACTTTCCTGTAAAATGTACTTGAGTACAAGTACTTTTAAAAAAAGTACTTATGAGTACATTTTGAGTACTTTCTGCTAATATGCTAAAACACTTCAAAATGCAAAACATCATATTGAATAACATATCTTGTATATTTGACAAATTCGGCCATTTATTACTAATAATGTAAACAGTATACAAAGCATTTGAATATACGCACTGAACGTAGGTGGAAATTGTCCGTGAAATTGAAAAAAAAAACCCAGCAAACAAACAGACACAATTAGTGAGTAAGTGATATTATGAATAGAATTTGTTTGAGCAAGACAATATGATCTAATGTAAGTCAGTCCTAGAGGTCGGAAAGTAGGAAAAGTATCAAAATTGGAAAATGTAGCGACAAAGTTGACCTAAGAAAATAAAAAATTGATGAAAAGGGCCAGCAAAAAAAAGTGCTTTGAATTCTTTAACGAATCCTCAAGGAATCAAGGTAGCTCTAGTCTTAAGCACAAACCACAAAAAAAAGGAAAAAAGAAATTTAGGTAGCCTAAAAAATTGTTAGATTGATATACATTGAGAACTCGGTTTCAGTTTCAATTGATTATAATAGTGGTAAGACAGAGTTTGGTCACACTGTGTAGTCCACGGCGCCCACGGCAAACCAAAATAGGCCTACATGTAATTTCCTAGGGTCTAGTAAGTGTAGTGTAACCAAAAATTCTGTACTACAGTAGTCTCCGCCTAAGATCCCAGTGCTAGGGAGCAAGGGAAATATGGGATCTTAGCCCGACGAAGCTAAGGAAGAATCTACAGTGACCCAAGAACTGACGTGACCCCTGGGTAGGTTTATGACATATGGCGAGCAAAGAGTGGTCATCCTTGATGACCAATCACAGTAGCATGGTGGCATGAGGCAAGCCATAATATTATACCGTACACTCATTAGCATATCGTCTCGAGATCTTTATCTACGTTTATCCAGTTGCCCCTCCCCTTTACCTGTCCAAAAATTGTAGCCTTCCATCTCTGATTGAGTCCCCCCGCCTTTGTCGTTACGTACCATTATGCTGTGACCACACCAATTAAAATTCAGGCTGTCTCGCAATTTCGGGAATAGAGAAAAACTGCCTTCAACTTCAATGGTCAGGGAAGAGTTCACAGTTCGATGTGATCCTGCCTGGAGCGAACTTGTAGGCCCAACCCACCCAGCGACGGATGAAAGTTCAGGTGGCGAGCTCAGATGCGAGTGCGATGTTCGGGGAAAAGAAACGCCCATCGGTCAGTTCACACCTCGGTGTGATCGCGTCTGGGGATCATTGTACCGTTTCATGGAGTTTTACAGCGCATGTGATCACTTTCACAAGAGTGGCTGATCTTTGACGCGACGGGCAGTTCTTTAATCTCAACTTTTAACTCTTGGTTGATTGTCTGTGCCCGCCCGGGTGTTTGTTCCGTAAATTATGATCGGAAATGTCGGCACTTATTCTTTCATTAAGCTTCAAAAGTACTCAAAATGTACTTGAAAAGTACTCAAAAGTACTTTTATAAAAAGTATCGGAGTACAGTAAAAGTACTGATTCTCAAAATTTACCGGAGTACAGTAAAAGTACCGAAAATTGTAACGTAAGTACAAGTACCGGAGTACTTGTACTCCGTTACAACCAGCTCTGTTCACACTTGGGTGAAATGAGGGAAAGTTCATGTCATGTAAAGTGCTTTCCCAAGTACATAATGCAGTGCTGAGCTGAGGTTCAAAAGACCACACCCTCTACCTAACAATTACAAATCATCTCTCAAAAAAATGGAAATAATTAACTGTTAACTGTTAATCAAAAAAGAATCTGTCCAATGCCCAACCCTCATAGCTGTCAGATGAGCTTATGATTTGAAAGTTGTATTGACTGTTATAATAAATTCCCTTATAATGTTATATTATACATATTTTTTTGTCATTTAGTAGAACTGTTGTTTGGTCTTTGAATAGATTCTGCCCACATTGTTCACAGTTCCTCTCTTGGATCCCACATTTCTGAATTGAAATTTTACTCTTTCTATACTGTGCGTAATCAGTTAGGATGCTGCTTTTACAAGAACATGCAAGGTACTTGAATGGATAAATTGTAATGTCTGTAGCTTTCATAGATCCTGCTGGCAGGAGTGTGGTCAAATTCTGTGGATGGATAGATCATGTAGGCATGGGTCACACTTTGTCTCGCCCATAAAGCTAAGCTTTTATACTGCCTGACATACATCTCCCGCGTGCCTTTTGCAGTGGTTGCCACTGAACTATTTCTATCCTTTTTGTTCACCCTCTCACTGTTGAAATAAAGTCTTTTGTACTGTACAAGGAGAGGGGGTGAAGTTAAAAATATATATGAATCTTGGGGTTCAAGGCTATTGGAAAAAAATGATGCTTGGCAAACCACATTTCAAATTTGTTACAATATAGTTGTCTTGTATCTGTCATAAATACCCACTTCATGCGGCACACCCCCTTGAAGCTGTCAGTTTCAGACAGTTCGTCAAAATAATGAAATCGAAGAAACTGGCATTTTTCCTCCAGCCAAGCAATTTTTGTCAAAAAATTTTTTTGTGGCTCTGCACACATTATGTCCATATAGAAATATATTTCCATGTGAATGTCACTGAAAAACATTGATTTATGGCACAAAGTAAGAAAATTTTCAGTTTTTAATGGACTCTCAAGTTATAGAAGTTACCAGACTTTGGTGGCCATTTTCTCACAAATTTTACCCCAGAAAACAAGTTATCACACCTTCTTCAGTCGCCCATATCTCGACTTCTATTCAAGATATATATTGGTATTTTTTCACAGAAAGAAAGACAAATAACAAGCTTTAAGATACCAATAACTCCATATATGTCCAAAAATTGACAAGTGCCTGATTCCACCGCGTCCACATATTATAGAAACTTAAATTCAGAATAGACTTGTCCTTGGTTTTAAGAACAATTTTCCACAAGAATCTCTGTCTTTTCTTGCCTCAAAAGTTCTTCTCAGTGTTGGTATCAGTTGACAAAATTCCCCCACTTCTCTTTGTTTGCCTTTACTTTACACAAGCTCCCTTCTTTCTGTAGTCAATCTCAGTTGTCCAAATACAGTGGGCCTTAAAACTTATTACATTAGCATCTGCAGAGTTGTTTCAGTTATACCTCAACAAATTTCTGCTTGTTTGACAGGAATATCGTCTCCCCTAGTCATAGTATGTGTGCATTTGATTGGTTAGTTTGCATTTGATGATAATCTGAAAAATTTAGGCTTATGATGTTACTCTTTCCTAAATCAAGTATGGGAAAAACAAGTTTTTCTTATGAACCAGTTAGTGGTCTCAGGGCAATGACTAGATTTTTAAAGTTGAGTAATTATGACAGACTTTTGTTTTACATACAGACTACAATTGTATTATTGGTTACTCCTGTTTATGTGTTTTCTGTTGAAGGAAGGAAAGAAAAGTAATCGCCTTACATTTTCCACTGTGCCCCTCTTTTCATACTCAGTTTGAACTGTAGAAAAATGTACTCTTACGTAAGCACTTGTTAAATTGCCTTTGTAATTATTTTTTGTATTACACAGAAAAATAAAAAGTGTCTTGTCATTGGAGGATGTGGTTTCTTGGGCCGTCATCTCTGTGAAGGTCTTTTGGAGAGAGGCTGGACTGTCAATGTCTTTGACATTCGATCAACCTTTGAAGATTCCAGAATAAAATTTTTTATTGGGGATCTGTGTAAGAAAGAGGTAAGTCATAATGTAATCTGAGGGCTGTAGATGTTACTTACGTACTTGTCTTACTTGTCCACTGTGTTGGGATCACTGCAGTTGGAACATATCCATCTCTGCTCTCCCCCCCCCTCTTCAGGATCCATCCCAGAGTCTATCTGCTTATAGTCTCCATCATAATCTGGTAGGAAATCTGTCGGACTGGTCCGCACAGGTGGCTGTGTTTCCCCTTTCCTCTCTGGATCCCCTTCTCCTTCAATCTACCTAGAGTGTGGGAACCGCTATCCGCCGTATTCTTCCTCAAATTTTCACTTACAGCGGTTAGGACGGTTGGTGGGTTCAGTGCCAAATTCCCTCCCTCTTTTGCTTCTCCAGCCAGCTTGTCTGCTCTCTCGTTGCCGGTTACCCCCGCTTGGCCCGGGCAGAAGATCCAGGCTGCTCTCCCTGATCGCAGCCTTCCAGTCCGCATACACAGCATCTCTTTCTGTACCTTCTTTAGTGTGCTCATAGAGTCAGTAATGATTACTGCTCGCTGATGGCTTGTGTTCTTGATCCAGTGTAGAGCCTCACTTATGGCTTTTATCTCCATACACATACTTGATGTTGTCAGTGCAGTTGCTCCACTTTGCTCTTTCACTACTACCCCATCAACTCTGACTCTGAAGGCCCAGCCCGATTTGACTCCTCTGTTGACTGATCCATCCGTGAAGATCACAGCATCTCCATGTTCGCTATTCTCTTCTATCAGGGTTTCAATTTCAGCATTTGTAGCTCCAAGTGGCCAGTTGCGACATTCTTTACCCAATGTTGCCTTCACTGTTGTGTACTCTCTGAGCGCATCTTCGAGCATGACCCAAACCCTGCCTCTACTGATGTCTTGTATCTGGCAGCACTCGTTGATGGTGTTCATGGCTTGAGTCATCTATTCTGTGCTCCTCTGTATATTTCTGTGATATAATAAAGACCTGCATAGTTCTACTCTAAGATCAGAGCTCTCTGATTTTTTTTGTATCTGTCAAATAACCCTGATTGGATTTCCATAAAATCTGGGTTTTTTTCCCTTGAATTCTGTTTCCATTGGTTGTATGTGACGTACCATATATGACGTGAAAATATATTTTTTAAATTGGATTTATTTGCAATGTTTGCACAATGTAGCCATATCCAAATTGAAAATACACATTTTAATTTGCATGCAATATTTGCACAACATATCGTAAGTGATGTGAAGAAAGACATTTTTATGTGCGTGTATTTGTTATACATGTTTATTTGCCACTCACAGTTTGTTGTTAAGTAATCTTAATCAACTGGGCAGGGTTGGGTTGATTTAAATCAGGTCGATTTAAATCAGTTGATTTTTTAAATTTAAATCAACATGATTTTTTAAATAAAAATCAGTGATTTAAATCACTTTTTAAAAAATTTATTTTTATTCAGTTTTTACGTATTTCAAAATTCAGAATTCCTTTCCTTGGTTTCATAAAACAGATGTAAGGTTTAGTCAACTAATATAATCATGCTTAAAAGTCTGCTTTCCCCCCTTTCACTGTAAAATAATACAGTATTCAATTTACTTTTTTTTTCAATAATTGAAATCAGAGCTGGGTTGATTTAAATCAGTTGAGTTTAAAAAAATAAAAATCAGTGATTTAAATCACTTTTTTTAAAATGTATTCAGTTTTTACATATTTCAACATTCAGAATTCCTTTCCTTGGTTTTATTAAACAGATATAAGGTTTAGTAGACTAATATAATCCTGCTTAAAAGTCTGCTTTCCCCCCCTGTTACTGTAAAATAGTACAGTATTCAATTTACTTTTTTTTCATTAATTGAAGTCAGGGTTGGGTTGATTTAAATCAGGTCGATTTAAATCAGTTGATTTAAAAGAAAATTTAAATCAACTTGATTTTAAAAATAAAACTCAGTGATTTAAATCACTTTTAAAGAATGTATTTTGTTTTTACATCTTTAAACATTCAGAATTCCATTCCTTAGTTTTATGAAACAGATATAAGGTTCAGTAGACTAATATAATCATGCTTAAAAGTCTGCTTCCCCCCCCCCCCCCCTGTCACTGTAAAATAAAACAGTATTCAATTTACTTTTTTTTCATAATTGAAATGAGCATTTTCTTTTTCTTTTTACACAAACACAAGCGTGTGCACACACACACACACACACACACACACACACACACACACACACACACACACACACACACACTGTAATAAAATGCAAGTTTATCTATGCATAATTACCCCTCCCCCTTCCTTTTAGACTGACATTTTCTTCATTTTTTGTCTGTAGCCATAACTCACTGATATAGCTATAATAGCAGATTAAAACTTTCTTTTGCAGTTGCTTAAATTAATCATTAGATAAAATAAAGACAATGCATTTTGCACTAAAAGAACATACTTTTAGCCACCAAAAATCCCAAACTGAGTCGACAATTTAAAAAAAAAAATTTTTAATATAAAAATCCAATTAAAATTTTTTAAATCTGATTTAAATTTTTAAAATCGGTTTTTTAAATTTTTATTTTAAAGATTTAAAAAATCACCAACCCTGCAACTGGGGTTCTTGAGACTCCATTTTTATTTTCCTACTCCTTTTTCTCGGGGGGGGGGGTAGGATTTCTAGGAAAACTCCTATTTTTGGCCATGGGGTGGTTATAGGTCTGTAAAGTGGATAACAATATTCCTTTAATTGTTCTTTTGTCGCATTATAATAAATAAACTGTTTCTCAGTAGTCATGTGAATTAGAAGCCAAAGCCCAGAGCTGTGGCCTAGTGAAGACATCTGATTTATCATTGTCTTCTTACACTGTCAATTGTTGTTTTCATTTTACTAAGAATTATGATTTCACCTTCACGTTTAGCACTGTTTTTGGATTAACCTAGTTCAGTTTAAGTGGATTTCGCTTAATTTTTTTCTCTTTTCTCTCCAGGATCTCCTACCAGCTTTAGAAGGAGTGTACTGTGTATTTCACTGTGCTTCGCCAGCTCCTCTTAGCAACAATAAAGCTCTGTTTTACAAAGTGAACTATGAGGGAACTCGTAATGTCATAGAGGCATGCAAGGAGGCAGGAGTCAAGGTACTTGCATTTTTAAACGTTTTTAGCTGTTTCTGTGTGTATGTATAAGTATACCCTCAGCCGCCGAAATGTAAAGTTAGTGCCTAGGTTGCTTTAACGCAACCTTTCATTAAACACTTTAAAAAAAAACAAATATCTTAGGAAGAAGTATCAGCCCAGCCCTAGGCAGGGAGCCTAGAGTACCTGCGGCGAGCTGCAGCCTTTACACAAGAGACTGGGATGTCCGTTTAACACTTTGCAGTCACACAGCCAGCAGTATAAAATACCCCATCTGCTCACCCAGCCAGGAGAGTTGACTGCAACGGACTTCTCGGGCCTGGCGCAGCCAGGTGATCGGAACGAATAATTTTCATCGGCACTTTATTGTGCCTAGTGATTGCGACGTGTTAAAGATTAACGAGAAGAATAAGAAGAAAAGGAAAAGCGAATATATGTCTACATCTCTCTTTTTGCACACTTTTTTTTTCACATTGGTTCATAAAAGAGCAAGCTGATGCCTTTAGTATGGGGGGTCCATGTCTGCTGTGTTAAGATTTCACAATGAAGGTAACTAATTCAGGCAATTTTTTTCAATTTTTGCATGCATGAAAATTCAAATCTTCTAGAAATGTTTCAGCTGTGGTTGGAAAGGATAAGGTACTTCCTTTGAATTTTGATCAAATTGACATTGAAACTGTTCCTTGGACTCACAGTAAAACTCGCAGAGGGAAATACACGCCCAGCGTTTTATTGACCTTGAACTCTGTTGTGTCTGACAGCCCACACTCAGGGAAGAACATCGGGAGAAAATATGGGGAAAAATTGTGTGAAGAGTTTAGCACAGATTGGTTCCTTGTACATGAAGTAGGTATTAAATTCAATGTTATTGTATTCATTCTCAGTATGTGTATAAAAGATGCAGATGTACACGTATGAATGAAAACAATCACAGAATGACGAAAAGTCTTAGCAACTGGTAGTAGAAATGAAAAAGCTTGTGGTGTCTGTCACTATGAGCTGAAGTGAGCTGTGTGTGCTTGATCAGGGATTCTCTTTACAACACTGAAGTAAGTTTATAAATTGTTTAAGCTTTCAATATGGAACTGTCCTCTTTCTGAGCATACGGCCCAACAGTTTGCATGTAGCCAGAGTAGTCTTTTGTGACACTGAAAGGGAGAAAATATGGGAAGAAGAGCTCTGTAACAAGGCACTGGCTAAGATCTGTGTCATATAGAGATAAATAAGATTTATGTTTTTAATAACCCTGATTTTTGGAAAGACTTGAGATAATTCTTGTCTTCTTTTTTCCTTCAGCGCATGGTTTTGACCAGCTCAGCTAGTGTGGTTTATGAGGGGAAAGGCATTCGTAATGGAAGAGAAGAGGAACTGCCCTACGCAGCCAAGCCTTTAGACTACTACACCGAGACAAAAATACTCCAGGAGAGGGTGAGTTTAGTGTATGTGCTTGTGTGTGTGTGTCAATTTTGTTTTTACAGGTGTTAAGATGATTGTATTCATTTTTTAAAGAGTTTGTCTGTGTTTGAGTGTTTAAAATAAACTATTCCCTTCTGAGACTGCAATTGAAGAGGCGGCTGCAGGCTTAGGACTGCCACAGACGAGGAAAGTGGATGGTTGGCGGGTGCTCTGGTGTGGTTTGCTCCGTCTTTCCTATCAAGCATCTATCATCCTGATCTCTCCTTCTTTTTTGTGTTTGTTACTTTCTTGTAACGAGTAACACCTCTAAACTTCGGCACTTTGATTCTATACAACCTTATTAAGTTGCAAGTGCCGTAAAACTCTTACTAAAAGACGAGGAAGACAGTGTCATCAGTGTGCATTGTAGAAGTAAAACAAAACGAAGTGTGTTAGACAAGGAGGACCAAGTCCTATGTCCTATGGTTAAACAAACAAATGGGTTGCTGGCACTCGATGAACAAGGGACACTTCTGTCACATGTTCATGCCGACGTCAATTGCTACAGACTTGGTGCTCAGAGCGGGTCATCTCACTTATGGTTTGTGGATGGTCAGAGTTTTGGGCAGGGCTGCTGCATTAGGATGGTGCGCAAGCCTCCCTCGCCAGAAGCTGGAAATTTGTTACCAATTGGTCGACTTGGGTAAACAGTGGGAGAGATCTGAGCATCATGATCAGTTCATTCATCGGAGGGATTAAGAATTACTACAAATGAATGGTTTATGAGAGCTCATCTACAGTGTCAGGGGCAATATATAATTTTTGCAGCACATCAAGCGATTAGAGATTTGCGTGGCCGTTTTAGAAAGGGGTTTTTTTTGGCCGTTGGTTGATAAAATGGTGGCTATTACCCTGTTGGTCAGGTTATCGTTTTACGCTGTGTCATTATATTTTGAAAAGTCAAGAGAAGAAGTGGAAAGAGGCCATTTTGTGTGGATGGCAATCTTATACAGGTGGCCGTCTTGGCAGGTTTGACTGCATGTGTTATTATCAATTGCATCATTCCACATTCACCTAAATCAATTTATGGGGGTTTCCAAATAATTCCATTAATCAAATAGAGACATTAAGGGGCATCTTACAATATACCTTCGTTTTGTTTCTTTATTTTATTCCTAAGTTTTAACTGAAAAATAATGACTGCCCAAATCATGATTCTGATGTAGCTGCTGTCTATAATTTTCTAAAAACTTTTAAAAGATGACTTACATGCTTGTGGAGTGGCGCTAATGATATATTTAATTTAAGCCCCTCTTTTTCACTCTCTATCTCTCACTACGCTACTGTCTCCCCCTC